GATCACCGTCGAAAACGCGACACGTATGCCGGAGTTGGGCGCAGCCCATCCGATGGCCGACCTTATCCTACACCTCGCCATCTTTTGTCCAAGTGCATGAACATATTTAATTTCATAATGTTGACCAAAAAAATTAAATAAATAACCAAATTAAATACTTGCGCATTTTCACACACATGAACACAATTTTTTCTCGTTTTCTATGTTATTTTGCTGATCTTTTATGTTTTGAATTGAATGAATTGTGTGCTGCCATCACTAGCTCCACAAGAGTTAACCGATGTTGTAATTCCTAAGTTTGACCAATATTGTTCCCTCATATACACTAATGCACAAGCCAATTTTGAAATTTCTCATCAAAATTTAGTTAACAAAACCAACAAATTTTCTTGGACTCGCCTACATATTCGGAAAGGGCTCTTTTGAGGTCGATCTCTCAGCAATTATGTTGTGTTTTCACATAAGTATAAATTGAATGACTTATGATGTAATTGGTTATGTCAGTGAATTAAGAAATACACTTCAAGATAGCAATTCGTGTTTTAGCTCGAGTTTTAATCACAAAGGTTAGTGTGAAATCAGATATATTTGAAAGGTAAATATCGAACTTGTATTCTCGTATGAACTAACAATGTCCGAGCTATAAATAAATGAAAATTCATTTTAGGTCGTGTTGATTGACCAAAAAGGAGTATGAAATCTGAAGGATGATTCTTCTCTTTATCGTGCACAACCACATAGAGCTTCCTCATGATTCACATATATTGATTAGAATAGTTTAGTGCTAATGTTGGAAGCTCCTCCCAACTTTTTTTTATATATTTATTTTAGGCCCATTTATTTTAGGAAAAGCCGATTCGTGAAGTGCAATCAACATAAATTAATATATCGACTGCAACTATCACCCAACGTGCGTTAATATTTTATTTAACTTTTTAAATCCAGAAAATACGAAAGGATCTTGCGAATGGACTACATAAAATTCTAACATATTAATCGCTCAGTTAATGACTTTGCACTTTAGCTTTCCCCTGCCCATAAACTTTAGCTTTCCCCTACCCATAAAGTGCAAAGAACTATACGAATAGACCATATAACTGTCGCATATCCATCATCATAATTATCGAAAATTCATTGCTCAATTGCTTCTTAGTTTCTGAGCAAACAAAGTAACATGTCAATGAACAGTGTGAAAAAACTTTAATATTTTTTTTAGTGGTTAGTGTAAAAATAGGTATTTCTACAATAATATATGCTTGCTTGCAACATAAATGGGAAGGGGAGGAAGTGACACTTGTACACGTGAGTGATTAGCTGTTTGACACGCACAAACTTCTAGAAATTTATGGGTGCATCATTACAAAACTGGTACAATAATCAAAGAAGATTTAAAAAATACAAAATAAATAAATAAAGCTCTTGCTGGGTTTGGCTGCTGCGGGTGCATGTGCTCCAAATCACATCCGCAGATCCGCTGTATATTCTCTTCCATCGAATATTCCAGTTTGATCTCATAGCTACATATCCCTACGCGTTTTTATTTGGTTTTATTTTCCTTTTAGTTCCTAAAATATAATAAAATTATTTTTAAATTGTTTATAAGATAACTATTGGGGAATAATTGTTATATGTCAAAATTTTCTAATTATATATTAATTTATTATCTTTTAATTAGTAGTGAATCTCTGTTC